CCACCGCCCGGCCTTTTTTTTTTTTTTTTCCAAAGTCTTTTTTTAACAGATTTTTCTGTGTGAACACACTTCTTCATTTTTAGTCTTTATTCATGGGAACCAGGAGTATATCTAGACATATCTGATAAGAGAGAAAGGATCATCTGAATTTTTTGGTTTGGTTTGGTTTTTAACAAAAGATTCAGTTGACAATGAGTCAAGGTTCCCAAGATTGACTGGGACAGTGGATTGTACTGTAAACTAACTGCATGTCCTGCAGTTCTCTGGGTCCCCGAGTGCAGCACCTTTCTGTATGTTGGCATGCATTGCTTTCCTCACATAATCCATTCTTTGGAAGTTTCATCACATTAGCCAGTCATCTGGTCCTGAAGTTCCTTTTGGTTAGAAGGTGTTGGTTCTTCCCTTTCACTCTCCATCTTGGTCTGGTAGTCACTCAAAGATTTAGTGTGCTTTGCATGCATATTTTAGTCGGAATGGCAATAGTTTGTTTGTTTTGAGCATGTTTTTTAATTTTTATTTGCATAATCCTAATTTCTATTTCCTTTCTTTCCTCAATGTCTACTGCACCTTGTTCGCCTCCTCCATTCATCTCGACGCCATGGTTCTGCTGCTCCATAACAATGCATTATGAACTTGCCACTCCCATACGCAATACCTCCCCTCCCTCCAACCTACATCCTTCCATCAATGGGCATCATTGTCCCCAAAACAATATGTTGTGGATGTCACAATGCTTATTGTCCAATTAGGGTGAAAATTCCTTCCTACAGGCAACTGTGGCAAAACTGGGGCCTCTCCCTCGTGTTCTTGCTGATATCACCAAGTCCCTGACTAACCCTACACCAATACAACAGCAGCTGAGACGCTTTGCTGAGCACAGCTCCAGTCCAAATGTCAGTGGAAGCCTCTCCTCTGGGCTGCAGAAAATATTTGAAGACCCCACTGACAGGTATGAAAGAGAGGATTTGAATGCTGCTCCCCAAACAGATGATGTTTAGATTTGCCAGAAACCTATTTCTCTTATTTTTTTAAGTTTGCAACTTCTAAGTAACTGAAAAGAATTGTCTTTGATAAATTCAGTTGCTTGTCACAATGCACAACAGCAAGTATTACTTATTTTCCAGGATGATACTGTAGCATTTTCTGTCTGTCATGTTTCATGGAAGATAAAGGACTTTTATAAAATTGATGTTTTCATATGATCTAGAGCAGTGGTTCTAAACCTTCCTAATGCTGTGACCCTTTAATACAGTTCCTCATGTTATGGTGACACCCAGCATAAAATAATTCCCTTGCTACTTTATAACTATAATTTTGATACTGTTGTGAATCGGAATATCTGATATGCAGGATATCTGATATGCAACCTCCAAAGTGTTCAAGACCCACAAGTTAAGACCCACTGCCCTAGACCCTCAGTTAAGACCATTTTAGAGTTGTCTATGTCTGCTGGATAGGTGGATAAAATGTTGAACCTTTAACTTTGTGCTCTGAATTGGAACAATTTATGCCTTTAACAGTGAACAGATTCTCTGAAGGTTTTGACAGAACTAAATGTGGATTAGGATATTTTAGAGAGTGTTCTAACTCATTAATAACTAAAGACAGTGGTGGGAGATATGTTATTTTCTACCTTTGAGAGAAAACTAGTAATACCAGATTTTATTCTAAGAATTATAGTGATGAAATCGGAGTTTCTAACGAAATATAACTTCCATATTGAAGCTGTGAAACTTCAAAAGAGTTCATATGCCCAAACTGAGGAACTATTAGTTATATTGAATTTGCTTCAAGAGTAATTAAGGGGCCATTCCTTTTCCACAGTGATTTGCATAAACTAAAATCTCCAAGCCAGGAGAACACAGACAGCTATTTCAGAGGGAAAACGTTATTGTTGGTTCAGCAAGCCTCCTCCCAGAGCATGACTTACTCTGAAAAGGATGAAAAGGAAAGCAGCCTTCCTAATGGTCGGAGTATCTCCCTCATGGACCTCCAGGACACTCATGCTGCTCAGGTGGAGCATGCATCTGTCATGCTTGATGTGCCTATGCGCCTTGCAGGAAGCCAGCTGTCTATAACCCAGGTGGCTAGCATCAAACAACTTCGGGAAACCCAGAGCACTCCTCAGAGTGCACCTCAAGTGAGAAGACCCCTGCACCCAGCCTTGAACCAGCCAGGAAGTCTCCAGCCCTTGTCATTCCAGAACCCTGTCTATCACCTCAACAACCCAGTTCCAGCAATGCCAAAGGCCTCTGTAGATTCTAGTTTGGAGAACCTAAGCACTGCCAGTTCTAGAAGCCAAAGCAATAGTGAAGACTTCAAACTCAGTGGACCCAGCAATAGCAGCATGGAAGATTTCACCAAAAGAAGCACGCACAGTGAAGACTTCTCCAGGCGGCACACTGTACCAGACAGACACATACCTCTTGCTCTGCCACGACAAAACAGTACTGGGCAGTCCCAAATCCGAAAAATGGACCAGGCTGGGTTAGGTGCCCGAGCCAAAGCACCCCCATCCCTGCCACATAGTGCTTCCTTACGTAGCACAGGGAGCATGTCAGTGGCCTCTGCAGCCCTAGTGGCTGAACCTGTGCAGAATGGGAGCCGATCCAGACAGCAGTCCTCTTCCTCCAGAGAGAGCCCTGTTCCCAAAGTGAGAGCAATCCAGAGACAACAGACACAGCAGGTAGAGTATGCTAGAAGACTTTGGCTTCTGCTTGGATGGACAACTGGGTTGTTTCTTTATATAGTGTCCAGAAATCAAATTGATAAGAAGGTTTCCACTTGAGAATGTTTCTGTAACCTTTAAAGAGAAGAAAGAAATGGAAAGGTTTGGAAGGTTCTGACTAGGTGAGAGCAGAACAGAGCTTGACTCGTTACCCTTAGGAGACTAACAAACCCTCAGGAGACTTTTCTTTTCCATGAGGAACAGAGCTGCTTCTTCAGGGTGTGCTTAGAGCAGAGCTGTGGCATTGGGTGAATAATTAATTACACAGTTATATAGGAGATCTACAGGCAAAATCAACTGTATTTAGGGAATCTGGAAATTAATCCTTCTTAATTTTTTCCTTAAGCTTCCGGAATAAAGTTTTGCATTCTGAGCTTACAGTGTAATGTAACTGCTCTCCACTTCATCCCCCAGCTCCCTGTGGAAATGCCAAGTCCCATGTGCCATTTCCTGGAATTAGCTTGAAAAATAAACAACTGATCACCTAGAGAGGCCAAGGGAAGAATTACAGAAACACAAATAGTTGATAAGTACTTGAAATATTTGCGCTTCCCTCTGCATATATGGACAAGTCCAGCTAATGTCACACCAATCCTGATAGAACATTTTGGAATTTTATTATTTGCCTAAAATGCAATCATTCCTTCCTTTATGTATGACATTTTGAGTCATTTATACATATTTTCCCCTTAGACATAAACTAATAACTTTAGAGGTCTCTCTTTCACTGTTCCCCATATGTGTTTGTTTCATCTAAAAGTTTCTTCCTAAAAAAATTTTACATTTGGAATTTTTTAATACAATTTTTCATTTTATTATTTATTTACTTATTTTTGGAGACAGGTCTCACTAAGTAACGCTGCTGGCCATGAGCTCACAGAATCAGCCTGCCTTTGCCTCCCAGGCACTGCAGTTATAGCTTTGCACCACTATACCTGGCTTACATATTTTTATTCTTTGAGAATTTGCATTCCCTCCCCTCCAGCTCCTCCCCTACCTTCTAACACCATTTTTGTATCCCAGTTCCATGTGTTCACTCACTCTCTCAAAAACAAACAAAACATTGAGTCTAATTAGGTATAGGACTGACTATCTACTGGAGCATGGGTAGTTTTTCCAGAGCCACATCCCTAAAGACAACTTACTCTCTCCCCGCCAGCAACAGTCAGGTGCCAGTGGCATCTCAGCTAGATGTAGGACTTAATGATCCCTTCCCTGGTTATGTTGGAATTTGGGTTGGCTTAATTGTGTACATGCAGTCACAGCTGCTATGAGTTAATGTGTGTGGTGGTTCTGTCATGTCCAGCAAATAATGTTTCACAAAATCAGCTCCATCTGTTTCTTACATTCTTTCTGCATCCTCTTCCATGATGATCCCTGAGCCTTGAAGGGGGGAGATGTATGCAATTGATATCTCATTTAGATTGAACACTCCAGAGTCTTTATTCTCTTCACGCTGACCAGTTGTGGATCTCTGTATTAATCACCATCTACTACAAAGAGAAGCTTCTCTCATTAGGGTTGAGAGATGTACTAATGTATTGGTATAAAGATAAGAAGTTAAGGGTGTCAGTTTCATACTGTGTTCATTTAGCAGAATAATAATATTAGGTTGTTCCCTAAGGCCAATCACCTAACCAGTGACGGGATGTGGACCCAGTTAATACTACTAGGCATGAGTTCTATCTATGGAACAGGCTTTAAATCCCAAGAGTTTAGTTGCTCTTTAGACATATCTTTTTTTTTTTTTTTTTTTAATGTGCATTGGTCTTTTGCTTGCATGTATGCCTGTGTGAAGGTGTCAGATCCCCTGGAACTGGAGCTACAGACAGTTGTAGACTGCCATGTTGGTGCTGGGAATTGAACCAGAGTCCTCTGGAAAAAGTCAGTGCTCTTAACCACTGAGCCATCTCTCTAGCTCCGCTCTTTAGACGTATCTTGCCAAATCAGTTGCTATTGTAGCTTACAGGGTTCACAGCTGGGAAGACTGTTCATTACTTTTCCCCCCAGGAGCATGCATAGAACCGTCCAGCATGATGAAAATTAGTCAATAGGGATGAAGCTTCCAGGTCAGTATCAGCTTGATTGTCCTATGACTCGTGTCTTTAGCAATAAGGTCATCTTTCAAGTTGTGGAGGGAAACCAAGAGCAATGGCAGTAGCCTCTAATGTTTGGCTGTGATCTATGGGGTCCTGCTGACCAACATTTCAAAAAGAGGTAATCTGACGTGGCACTGGCCTTCTCATTTGATAGCTTATGGAGCCTGGTGCTGAGAGAGCATACCATCTTCTCCCCATGCACCGCCCTTATCGAGTAATTCCATTTAAGTTCCTCATATAAATAAATGAGTGTGCGTGTGCGTGTATGTGTGTGTGTGTGTGTGTGTGTGTGTGTGTGTGTGTGTAAGCGTCTACAGTGGTAGGTTTCTTTGGGGGCATTTTCAGAGGTCTTTAGTGTTAGTTATCCATACTAACTCCTCTAGGCTCCCTTCCCATCCCCCACCACCATTTAACCCTTCCTGTCCCATTATTTCCTCCTTCACACTACCTGAAGTCTATCCCCTTCACTTGAAATTCCACCACATGACCCCTTAACTAGTTCTGTGACTTCTGTGTATACTGTGTGTATATTTTCATTAATTCTTTGAGAATTTAATACATGCAGACAATGTATTTTGATCATATTCTTCTCCCACACCCATCTCCTTTTGATCATGTTCTTCTCCCACACCCATCTCCTCACCATCTACCTTCCATCCCCTTCCAACTTCATGCATTACCTATATACTCATGGGTGTGGGGACATCCACTAGAGTGGAGTATACCTACTAGGGGCCACATTCCTTTAAAAAAAAAAAATGTAACCCTCCTTCCAGAAGCTATCACCTGTTAATAGCTCTCCAGCTTTGAGTGAGGGCTTGTGAGCCCCTGCCCTCTCTCGTGGAATTTTTTGAAACATACTGTGTAAGTTCTAAAGAGTTGATGATTAAAAGAATTCTATAACATCCTTTTAGGGAACAGGATAGGTGCTCAGGAAGACTACACTAAAATCCCAACTCATCTGAGTAATGTAGCTACATTTTTACAGGGAGGTCCTTCCTGATTTAGTTAGCTCTGCATTGCTGTTACTACAGTCAGAACCCTTTCCCCCTGCCCTTGCATTGGTTTTTATTTTAAGAGTTGGACATTTGCAGAATCCATAGATACAGAAGTTGAGGATGAGCTTAAGCTTTTTCTGGAAGCCAACTTCTGAGGAAGATATCTCAGGTGGTTATTCTTTCTGGAGGAACAAAACTCCTCGAGGTTGAGTTCTTCCTTTTAGTTTATTATGTTTCACAAGATTGTACTGATTCGTTTGATCTAATAGGATCATCTGAGGAAAAGTCATGTATACTCCTGTATGTGTAACTCAAGCTGGCCAGGAGCTATGGCCATCTTATTATTCCTCTTCAGGTTCCCCAGGCCTGTACCCTCACAGCTGGCCTGCATGTCTTTTATATATACACATAGATTTGTACAGAAGTGTACATGATTTTTGCTGAAAGGCCTTCATTTATTTAAGCCTTCTTGTAATTGAATTGCATCACATGTTTCTGTGCTGGCTTCCGGTTGATGGTAACTACTTTCAGAGAGTTAAAGTATTTATTGGAGGAAGAATGCACAGCTAAGTAATTTTAGAGATGAAATGCTATATGAAAGCAAACATTTCCTCTAGCTTAGGGTAGCTAGAGGGCAGTGAGGATGAGGTAAAAGTAGAAAAAGTTCTCATTGATTAGGTTCAGTCCTGAAAAGAAAAGGAAAGTCAGAATTCTATTCTTTGGGCAGACAGTACTCTTGCTATTACCCACCCAACTGCCCCATGCAGTGTACTACATAAACTTTTCTTTAAAACATATTTTAAATTTTTCTCTTTCTACTTCTGCCTTTCCATTTTGTTTCCCTCTATCATGTAGTCTTATCACGTATATTTGTGCTTATAATTCTCATGCATTTGCCTATGACCAGTTGCTACTTACATTTTTTCTATAGAAAAATATGACACCAACACACAAGCTCAAAACATATGCTTCCACAAATGAATATAAGACTGCCTAGATAAGTAGGAGGTAGTAGATGTATATCATCTCCAAAAACAAATTTTAATTTTAATTTTTCTGTCACCACCATTAATGAACTAGAGAATGTCTATACTACCATGAATTGGAGCACAGAAACAGTGAGCTGTCCTGACACATTTAAAATATCCATCTTCATTTATACCCTGCTGATAACAGCCCTATCATAGAAGTTGAAACCTAGTGTTTTCATTGCTCAAGTTTGTGAATTTTCTACAGTGGCTTTTTCTATCTATTAAGTAAATGGTTTATTCTTTTGAACTTGTTGTTACTCTTTTTATTCTTATCTTTCCATTTCTTGTGGTTTTTTCATCTCACATGAGTCCTCTGTATAATCAGCACATTTTTAAAGCAAATTCCTCTACATATTTTAATTGCAAATTGTGTTAGGGGATTTTTTTCTTTCTCCCAGCCTAGAGGGTTTCTTTGTGGGGATTGTTCTGTTGGCAGCTGTAATTATCAGCGGCTGTGTCCCATGCAGAGTCCATTTGTGTCTTAGCACAAAGGAGACCAAGGCCTTTGTTGGCAGCGTGTCTGGCTTCAGTCTTCTCAAATAGTGAGGAGGAAGGAAACAAAATCCTAGCAAAATACTTTACCAAGAAACAACTCTTTCAGGAAATTCTGGATATTTTGACCCCTTTGAACACCTGTCTGGATTTCTTTTTTTCTCATTTCTTCTTTTACTTTTTTTAAAAGCATATCATGTATCTTGTACTAATAATAGACTTCATTTATTTTAAATATTTGAGTTGTTGAGACTTAGTATGTCAGAAATTTGAATTTGAAAGGACTTTTAAATAGGCATAACAAGTTCTCCAATATCACGCTGCAGTCTTCACATTTGGATTTGCCAAGACCTCTTCTAACCAAACTCTTTAAGAACTGTCAGAGTTGAGTTGCTTTGGTGTTGATAGCAAACTGGTTATTCATTGATGAGAATTTCTTTCAGACAGAAGAAAGTGAAACCAAGTGCTTTTTACATCTAGTAAACACCACTAGCAAGGAGCAGGGGAGCTGGCCTGTTCCAGCTGTCCCAGCAGAGCCAGGCTGTGACTGACTTGTATAGGCGAAACTGTTGTGTCAGGCCTTTGTGCCCTAGAGCATTATTTTTGTCCAGGGAAAGCCTGCATAGCATCAACTCAAAGGAGACTGTAGGATATCTCCTTTTGCTGTCTTTTTCACCCTTCATGACCTCTTAAAAGTCAGGTAACTATAAATGTTCTTCCTAAGGCTGTAGCTAAGCATGATGAAATCTGAACCACTTACCAGCCGCTGGCTTCCATTTCTTTGACTATGAATTAGAGATAATAAGCTTTGTTACATATCCAGCTTATAAAAAGGAGATGGGATGGTTGTTAATGAAAAGCCTTTAATGCCCTTCCAAAGAACAGTGTCCTTCTCTTATAATGCATTTTATTTTAGCAGTGAATTCTGAAGAAAACTCAGTGTTAATATATAAAATTTTATTGATCGTTTCTTATACATTGAATTAGTCACTGTAGTTCAAAAGAATTGTATGATGTAGTGCTGTTTGTTTGGTAGTGATGTAACTGAGAAGACCAGCACATATGAGACCGAAAGAAAAAAATAAATAAATAACGGGGCTGGAAAAATAACTTGATGGTTAAGAGCACTTACTGCTCTTGCAGAGGACCTGTGTAGCAGCTCACTAGCCTGTAACTCCAGCTCCAAATAAGTATTTTTTTTTTAAAAGAAAAACTATAAAAGACAGTTTATAGATTTTTCATGTAGTACGCATATTCTAATACTTTTGAACCAAAATTACCTCTATTTTCTTTCACTCTAGTACAGTAACTACTTTTGACTTCCTCTATATTATTTTCTACTCATAACCTTCTAAAGGATGTGACATAAACAAATAATAAGGCTCATCTGAGTTTTACTTACCTTATTATTTTGATGATTTACCCAGAGTAAGAGTCCACCAATAAATTAGGAAGAGATGACCAGTTCCCATTGCACTGTCTATCACAATTCACTCGTGTATTAGTCCTCCTAAAAATACAATAGCTACCACCATCATCGGGTGTGAACCAACCCTTGCTTTCAAATCTCACATAACATTTCAAGCCTAGATCACCTACATTGTCTTTGCTGTCTTGCTTTTAATATGCTTTTCAAGCTGAGATCTTTCGTTTGTATGTTTTTAGGCACACCATTTGTTTAGAACTAAGGAGATTTATAGATAATAAAGTTACCCATAACAAATGACAGGGAAAGAAAGATTATTCAAGCAATATTTTATTAACCATTGAAAGCAGGAAGCTATTGGATAACTGCCTTAATTAATAAGCTCTTAATAGTGAGGTTATCAGTAGCTTATAAAGTATCAACTTTACCTCAAACTACTGTTAAGTAGAAAATCCTAGACCAACAGCTTCTGTCTGCCCTAACTGTGCTGAAGTAATATGATTGTAAAACTAAAAGGCCATTTGTCTCCTTTAAATATTGATATCTATTAGTTATTTAAGATTAGGTGCTACCCTTTTTATTTTATATCAGAAAATTAACCCAATGTTTCCATTTCTTTTAATCAGTACAGAAACAGGTTGTTGCACTCTGCTTTTCACACCCAGTGTGCAGAGAACTACACATGTATTTGTGTATAAAGTACTTGCAGTTTATGAAAGGTTTTCATTCTCTGGCATGTTTTTCTTACAACCTCTGGTTTTTTGAGGCAAGGTCTCTCTCTATGTAGTCTTAGCTGTCCTAGAACTTGCTGTGTAGACCAGGCAGACCTCAAACACACAGAGATGCTTGCCTCTGCCTTCCCAGTGCTGGGATTAGAGGTGTGTGCCACCATGCTCAAATCTCATAATTTTTTATATGAATAGTTCTTTCCTTTTGTAGATGGCACTGTATCCTATAGGCCAGAGTTCCCCAAGTATTATATAAGTGCATACTTATATAGTATCAAACTCATAGCTCTACTGATAATGCTTAGTGTAAGGGCTTAGGTAACTATAAAAGGTTATTTTTAAAAGAGATAAACAAATGTTGGTAATAAGGTAGATACAGCAAAAAAGTGACCCACAAGTAAATGGGATATAATAAACATTTCTATAACTGTAGTAGAAGTGGAAATAGAGTTTTAAGTACAAAGGGTACTGAAATTTAAGACTAAAACACATGCAAATATAAAATTATGACTTTAGAGAGGGAATTTCTACACATTCATTCACAAGTGTGTGTGTGTGTGTGTGTCTGTGTGTCTACTTATAAACTTCATCCTTCCTCAAGCACAAAGCCATTCTTACTGAGCAGAATTCTCCTTCAAACCCTTAAGACAACCTATATTAGTCCTGTGTGTGTTTATAAAGTCTCTAAAGACAGGCTTTTCATCTTGCCTTCTAACCCTCATAGTCATCAAAATCCCCATTTTATTTAGAGCTTAACTGAGTTCTAGTCTTAAAGTTTCTTAAAGTATAGCTTGACATAGGAGAGAAAGTTCTCTTCAGTTATGAAATTTAGAGTTATTCCTCAAAATATAAATCCATTTTAATTATAAAAAGCTAGCATAACACACAGATTTTTTCTTACTATTACACACACACACTCACCCCTCTCTCCATCTTCCCTCACCCTTATACACACACACATGTAACATGTATACATTTTCTTCCGGTCTCTAGCAGCCTAGGAACTAATACTCTTAAGTTACCAAAGAACTTTCACATGTACCATTTTACCAACCCTCAGAATTCCCTGTGAGATGATCAGGTAGGTAATGGGAATGGTGGCATCTTCATTCAATAGATGAGGAAAGTAGAATTTAAGAGATTAAATGTTTTAACTAGTAATTGGCAGAGTTGCTTCTCAAGACTAGAATTTTTAACACTGTATATCTATATTGAGAAGGATAAGAAAGACCATTTATCTTGCTACCCTAACTAAGCCCTTTCAGGGGCTTAGACTATCTGGAATTCATAGTTTGATCTTAGGTACTTAACAAACTTTGTAGTGCTGAGGACATAGTTTAGTAGTAAAGCACTTGCCCAGAGCACATACGAAGCCTTGGATTCCAGATCTAACACAGTTAAGTAAACAAACAAACAAAAAAAGGCCAAGAAATGTCTTACCTAAAACACACTCTTTAGTGGTCCTAACACACAGGAGTCAGTTTCTAGAAACATAATAAATACCACCACTTTCTCTTTCTCTAAATGGTTAATGTAAAAGCTCAGTATTGACATTCAGATATGTACATCTATGAGCTTGCTTAGCATCAGCCAACTCTTTAGTCCCTGGTTATCCCTGACTCAACAGATATCCCGCCTTCTGAACACTCAGCCTGTCCTCTCTCTTCTTCTGTCCTCTCAGCTTCAGTAGGTTAACTTCATAGCTGGCAACATTTGTTTTGCAGAGCAAATTAGCAGTGTTAAGGCATTCTTTATAAGGAAAAAAAAAAAGAATGGTTCTTGAAAGTTGTGTATATGAATTCAGAATGGTTTGTCCTTAAACAGATGCATGTTCTCTTTCCCTACTCCCTGACCCTCGCATTAACAGACTTGCCTAAAACTGAAAGCACTTATTAAGAGTGATGACAGTTATGTAATTGTCTTGCTGAAGCATAACTGGTGTTTAGAAATGGTAATAAAAATCTCTGATGTAGGTTCAGTCACCTGTGGATTCTGCCACAATGTCTCCAGTAGAAAGGACAGCAGCCTGGGTTCTGAACAATGGACAGTATGAAGAGGATGTGGAAGAAACCGAACACAATCAAGATGAAGCCAAGCATGCTGAGAAGGTAGAACCTAATTTGTCTTCGTTGACTTAATGGCCCCACAACTGATAGGTGATTTAAAAAAAAAAAAAAGGAAAACACCAAGTTGGGCCTGGGACTCACTGCTTCACTCAGGCCTTTGTCTCTATTTCTCATGTTCCCATCACATCTGTGTGTTATAGGTTAGTAGTGTCTCTGTGAGTATATGGACAGTGTCTATTGTGCTAAGGAGAAGAGGGGTGGCATGATTTTTAATGTAGGTTTCTTTAATTTAGAAAGATTATTTGTTTCTGATACTTGTTTCTAACCTTTTTAGTTGAACATTTGTTTTTTCTGTAAACTCTGTTCTTCAAGTTCACAATTTACTTTAGGACTAGACAATCTAAATCTTGGAAACAGTCAGTTTATATTTTAGTTGTTCTGTTGAGTTTTTTGCCTTTTGTGAATAAAGACTGCTTAACTATATAGATAATTATTTAAAAGGTATCTGTTGTTTGAGAGGTTTCATAGTGTTTTGGAGGGTACATGGGTTTGTTTGTTTTCTGAGACGGGATCTCACATATACCCCCATACTGGCTTCAAATTCACAGTCTTCTGGCCTCTACCTTGGGAGTTAAGGGCATTTATTTTATTTACTTACTTACTTACTTACTTACTTACTTACTTACTTACTTACTTACTTATTTTTTTATTTGCTTAGTTATTCATTTATTTATTTACATACTTTAAAGAAAAACAAACCTGGAAAAAATTAAGCAAAAATATAACCTTAAAGTCACATTTAATTGAACATCAGACAACTAACTTTTTTTTGGTTAGAAAATCATAAACTATGCCTGATGATGCAGCCCAGCCTTTCAGAGCTGTCCTAAGGCTTTCTGCTTCAGCTTTTAGATTAACCAGCATAATTTAGAGCAGTGGAGTTGATAAGCAGTAGCTAGTTGCCTTTCACCAGTTAAATGAGATGTTACTATAGAAGTTGTATTATACCAAACAGCACTCATATTTATCATTAGTTTACTAGTGACTATAAGTAGCCTACCCATAAGGAAGATCATGTTTCTCACCTTGCCTGGACAGTTTCACTTTCTGTTACACTAACAACCCTGTCCACAGGAACTTTAGTACATGAAAGGACCAAGTAACCAGCTGAATTAAAGAACTTATAGAAGACTAGTGAGAACGTAGATAGATTCCAGCAGGTGGTACCAGATCAGACATATGAAGCCACGTCATGAAAATAGGGCAGGAGACAATATTAATTAGTCCTTGAGACGATGTAGGCCCTTGTCATTGCTAATGACCTGAATACTTGATAATTTTATAATTAAGGGAAAAGCAGTAATAGCCTGTTCTGTCATGAAATTGTATTAACTGATTTAGTTGCTTAACAGAATGTTACTTATTCTCTGAATAGTCTAAAGGGTGCGTTCTAGTGGAGGAAAGATAGTCTAATGAGCCCCAGTGTCAAGAATCATGCAGTACAGGTGATGACATAGAAGTCTTTCTCATGTAGACAGCTAGCTTTTAGCTTAAGTCATTTGTTGGGCTTCTAACTATTTAGTCATTTTCTTTTTCTTTCTCCCTTCTATTCGGTACTGTTACAGATTGGATGTGGCTTGCCACAACTGGTAGTTTAGTGTGGAGAAAAGTGCGTAAATCTGTAGATGTGTACTGCCAAGTTAAGATTCGTAATGTCATTTTAGACGTGACAGTGCTTCCTTAACATCCATGCCCGCCAATACTGTAAACAACCTGGGCAGCAGCAAGTATCAGACAGTATCCGCCTGTCACCTGGGCTTCTCTGGCTAGAAAGGGCATCGGTACTTCAAAGCCAATATAATTCCTGTCATCCATGCCTCTTCCCCTTTGCCAGTATGAACAGGAAATTAGCAAACTGAAGGAGCGCCTACGAGTTTCCAGCCGGCGGCTAGAGGAGTACGAGCGCCGGCTTCTGGTGCAGGAGCAGCAGATGCAGAAGCTGCTGCTGGAGTACAAGGCCCGGCTGGAGGACAGTGAGGAGCGGCTGCGCAGACAGCAGGAGGAGAAGGACAGCCAGATGAAAAGCATCATCAGCAGGTCAGTAGACCACCCGGTAGCTGATTGGCTCTAGATAGGCACAAAGAGGTGAGGAAATGATCCAAATACTTTCAGTACCCCCCCCCCAGCCATTTTCATCCATAGTGTATATTCTGTGGCACTTGGTATAAATGTAATGACTGTGACTCTCAGGTATTAAACCAAATGAGATCTGGTGTACTTACCATGAAGCTAAGGTAGGCTTTTTCTTTACCCATAACAATATTAGAAGAAAAAAAAGAGGGAAACTAGGAATTTATTTTGAAGTTTTAGATGGGTTTTTTAAAATCTATGTCTAAGATTTTTTTTTGCCCAGACAAGTCCAAAAACAGTGAATGTCTTTAGAACCAGAGGACCAAAAAAGTACCATGGATGCCAGCAAAGGAGAGTATAGAAGAGATCCATTTGACTGTATTTGCAGAGCACTTGCTATGGGCCAAGCACTTTTCTAAGTACTGTATAAATAGTATTTTGTTTTATTTCCATCTTGGTTTCTGAAACAGATATTATCGCTTATTTACTAAAAGAGAAACTGGCAACAGTTGCTTGCCCAAGGTAACATAGTGGAGACTTAGGATTTGAGCCAGGTATCAGACTCCAGACTCCAGACTCGTAGCCACTACCTTCAGTATTGTCACATGCTTTGGACAAAATAAGAGAACAGAAAAAGTGTTGCTGTTTTAGTAGCTTGGAAATATAACTGACTTCATACTGAGAGCCATAGGAGTAGAACTGAGGAGTTACATGCATAAGTGGGTTGAGATGTGAGGAGTAAATGAGATATGAGATCTACTAGAACATCCTGTAGGAAACAGAGCTGTGCAAGGGAAGAGGATGGGATGGTAGCTACAGTGTAACTTTAGAGTAAGAGTAGATGGTTTGCAGCCAAGCATGGTGGTGCTTGCCCATAGTAATCCCAACATTCAGGAGGTAGAAGTAGGAGTACCAGGAACTCAAGGCCAGAATGAGCTACTTTCTCAAAAATAAATAATTTAAAAAGTAGATAGTCTTTTTATTCTGTTGTTGTGTTTCATTTGCTATTTTAAGGTATTTGTTAAGGGGGTCACCTAATAGGAAGATGATGATTATAAGAATACTATTCTCAAGAAAATGTAATGTTATGACCAGCCACAGGTAAAAGAATCAACTTAGGATGTCTTCTTTCAAGGGAATCTGGGAGAGGAGGAAAAGAAAGAAAAGGTTATGGCAATAAAATAAGTCTTCTATTGGGAACCACCAGTTTAAGTTTCTCAATCTCTGTATTACCTAGCCCTGTCTTTGAAAATATTGATACCTCCTTCCTACCACATTCTAGGCTAATGGCTGTGGAAGAGGAATTGAAAAAGGATCATGCTGAGATGCAAGCAGTTATTGATGCAAAGCAGAAAATAATTGATGCACAGGTAAGCAGGTCCTGGACCTAGCAGAAAGCACTTGTTTTTAATACCTGTTATTTTCTGACTTCCCTCTCTTGCAAATGGCAAAGCAGTAGAAAATGAGACGCTGAAAGTTTCTTGATATTATCCTTTGAATATTAAATGAGTTTCCATATGACCTCAATGATTTTTCTTTAATGACATAGCATTAATATTAGCATGCAAAATATTGTATATTAATGTAGTTGTTTGACACATCTTAGCCTAGTACATGATAAAGTTAGTTGGCTTGCTTCCTTGTGGAAAGGAGGATGTTTTCTAAGAGAGTAACTGTAAAAAGTACATTGCATGTATCTGGCTTGTGACTTCCACTGACCATTGCTTGGCTGTGTTCTTCACGGTCTTGTCAGTCACATCCACTGCCATCAACACCTAGTCCTAGTAAAGGAATTGTAGGGGAAAGATAAGTTTGTAGAAGATAGCTTTCCTTGTTATTCTTTTGGTTCAGAGTTTGGCATTGCTGCTTGGAATGTGCTTGGCTGCTCTTCTGTGTTGATGCTATGCCTAGAGAACCTCTTGGATATTTTAAAAAGGTTGATAATTAGAACCTATAATAGCTACAGCTAGTGAGATGACAGCCTGCAAGAGCCCTTCACAAGGACACCAGTGATCAGAGCAAAATCTAGGACGTAGGAAGTTTTCAGTTCCTTATTGCTTTATCACTGTAGAGTATGATTTATTTCCTAAACGGAAATGAATTGCAGAAGGCAATTATAGTTTTGATAGTGGTTCATCTAGCCATACTGAGTGTATTGCCTGTCTAGGAACAACTAGCCAAGTTTGCATCTCTTTAAGCTATGAAATAATAGTGAGAGCATTCTACTTCATTCTCAATGTATCAACCACTAGTCAGTATATACAAGAGCCCCCAGTATTCTTAAACATGCACTTCAACATTTGAGTTTCCTTATGAGGTCAGTGTACATGAGGTTTATTTTTCAAACTGGGAGCATAGCCCTGTGAAGAACGCTTCACAGGCTTCATCCATCTTGGAGCTCACTAGACTTAGAAGCTAGTTAAGAGGTGTGATGCTTTCTCACATGCATAGCTTCCAAAATATTTTAGACTCAAATTCTGGATATTTTGGCCTCTTTTGAGCCAGAGAAATGTTATGATTACTTTACTTTCTCTTTTATTATTTTATTCTTTCTAGGTATCCCCAAGGTAAGTGAGGGAAGAATAGTAGAAACAAATCCAAGGCCATCTTGCTATATTATCCTATTTAAAAAAATCACTCTATAAACTTAAGAGAAACAGTGTCGATAAAGAAGGCAATTTCTTCATGAAAACTAATGTTGAAAGGTTCCACTTTGGTTTCTCAATATCAGTATAAAGCAGGGTGAGCCTTATTAGTAACCACACAGAGAGATTTTAGTGCTGAGATAGAATAGATTTCAGCCAATATAATGCAGCCAGTCATAAGCAGAGGGAACTTGCCAGCAACACAGTATGGCTCTGTGTATGCTGGCCTACAGGACAGCCCTGTCCCTAGTTTTGATCTGAGTATAAAACAAAAGTCGTAGTTACTAAAGGTGAAGTCTAGGAAGGGAATTTGATTGACCAAGAGTCAAAAGCTCTCAATGAATCCATCAGATGGTGTCACTACAGAGAAGGAGGAAATGGTATCCTTGGATCTCAGTCAGTCAGATGTACAGTCTGGCCATGGCAATTTGCTTTTCAAAAGGCTTGGTTCTCTGGACTATTTCAATGGAACCAAGGCACCTTCCATAAACCAATGCTCCCACTGGCCACTCAACCATGAAGACCACTCTCAACTAATGGGTCAGAACATACTGGGCTTTGTTAAATGTGATATGTTTCCCACTAAAGCATAGGCTTTATTATATCATAAATTCCTCTACAAAAGCTAATATAGATCCCTAAAGAATACTCAGACAACCCACTGGACATTTGAAAACCACTTTACCAGGCACAGCACAAATCATAAATACCAAAGACAGTTAAAAATATAATAGTGTTGCCGGGCGGTGGTAGCACACGCACCTGGGAGGCAGAGCCAGGTGGCTCTCTGTGAGTTCGAGGCCAGCCTGGAATACCAGGTGAGTTCCAGGAAAGGCGCAAAGCTACACAGAAAAACCCTGTCTCGAAAAACCAAAATAATAATAATAATAATAATAATAATAATAATAATAATAATAATAATAATAGTGTCTTAAAAGGGAGCATTCTCAATCCAAACTATTGGCTTACTGGTACATAGAATCATAAAATAGCAAAAGATTGTACATATTTAGATATTCTTTGTAACAAATGACTTTTTAACAGATTCTTTTCTGTGAGCACGAATCTTAACATCTTAAGTGATTGTTGGAACAGAGTAGCCCTTTTGGCTTCATTTCTTAAATGAAGACATATTTGGAAATAATAGTCTCCCTAGGAGGTAACCCATAATTTTATATCCACAGCATATGGCTTAGTGCCAATAATAGTAAATATATATATTTCTAAATGGAAACAGTTATTTTCTTTGTGCTAGGATTAATTCTAGCACTTGTCAGAACACTAACACTCAGGTACCCCAGGAATGCTTTTCATCTCTCACCAGCCCCTGTTCCTTGTTGGGGAATTCAGCTTCTTCCTCTCCTTGAGTCAGTTCCTGCTACAAAGCACAGGTGCACATCAGTCCCTTTCTGCAGAACTGCAAAAGGATGAGTGGCAGAATCACAGTCCTGAACCTCACAGCTCAGACGTGGGTCACAATGATGACACCAAGGAATAGAGCAAACCATGAAGTGTGGCACCTTTCACCCCCAGGCATGAGGGCTTACAACTCCTGGATCTCTCATGTGACTAGATAGAGAACAGAGAGGGGCTACTTCCTATGAGAAATAAAGCAGCTGCCTAGTTACTATTGCAAGTGATATCTCCACTGTGTTAAATTACAGGTCATAAATGGAAGTGAGATTATTCAAACAGGCAAGTAATCCCTGTGCGTTCTCTAGCTGAGCAGTTCCCAGCCCTGGCCAGTGCACTGGCCTCCTACACATTCCAGCTCCTGGAACTCCCATGTTGATTCCTTCCTTTCAGGCATGTTAGATTGCTTTGTGTTCTAAGCCAGGCAGAATCAAATGTCATAGCAATTTTTGCCAACTGAACTTTACTTTCAAAAGATCTAGTTTCCTGTTTGAGGTTGTTTTTTATTTGTGGGGGGTTGTTTGTTTGTTTGTTTGTTTGTCTTTCCTTTAATTTCTGTTTTATTTGAGAGGTTGACAGGAAGGAAACTGCAAAGGGCGTTTTTCTGCTTAGAAACTTTCAGGTGTCTAGCAGGAGAGGTTGTGTGATATCAGTTATTATTTGCAGGCAATATGTAATTATAGTCCTTCTCGGGTTCTTTTTTTTAAAGCCCTTTAAGGCTCAATTTGATTTTTTGAGGGGGTAGAGGATTGTCTTGTTTTGTTTTTGTGAATACTTAATTTTTTATGAACCCCGAGAATGCTGTTTTCCTTAGTATTGGGGCCTTGTCACTTGTCCCAAAACTGAAATAACTTTCCTTGCCTATTTTAAGAAATTACCAGTTATGGTACAAATTTTCACTTATTAGATAATATGCAAGAAATTTATCAAAATGAAACAAATATTTATTAAAAATTTAAATACCATTTATTCTGCTTAGGGGTCATTCCTCACTATGAGGAAGGACATTATATTTGGAATCTACCTATTGTTCTTTTTTACTTGTCCTTACTTATTGTCTTTGAAAAAAGCTGTATTTGTTTTCCCACTAAATCCCTATAATTTTTAAGTAAGTACTATTTTTAAGAGCTTTTCAGGGGCTGGAGAGATGGCTCAGAGGTTAAGAACACTGGCTGTTCTTCCAGAGGTCCTGAGTTCAATTCCCAGCACCCACATGGTGGCTCACAACCATCTGTAATGAGATCTGGCTCCCTCTTCTGGCCTGTAGGGATAAATGCAAACAGAACACTGTATACATAATAAATAAATAAATAAATCTTTAAAAGAAAAAAAAAAGAGCTTTTCAGATCTTTCTTTGAATTTTTCCCATTCTTAAAACAAGTCACCTTTCTTTAAAAAAAAAAAACTTATACAGTAAGTGGATAGTTAATAATACTGATTCTGTATGTCATACCACCTGAGTTTTACAGCAGAAAATGGGATTTTAATGAATAGTAATAGCAAGAGTTGGGTTGCTTTTATTTTTTCACACATTTGAAACTATAGCCACCACCTCTACTGCCATAGACACCTCCTTCTCCCAGCAAAGTGAGCAATAGAGAAAGGCAAGAATTGCCTGATGCTGTAGTCAGCGATGGCTTTACCCAGACTTCCCCAGGACCATCTCAAGGCTTGCTCCTAGCAGTGTGTTCCAGCAGAGCAGTACTAGGTTGGCAGCCCTCTATAGCTTCTGCTTCCGCAGCAGCAGCAGCAGCAGCAGCAGCAGCAGCAGCAGCAGCAGCAGCTAGCTTCAGCCCTCTTGCTGCTCTTTAAACGGTACCATGATAAAACTTGTCTCTTGCCTTCCTGAGTGAACTCAGAGATCTTCATTTGCTGTTAGGGTTGATCCTTGTGGGCTATTTTCTTTTCTATTTATGAGCATAGGTAAAGATTGTCCCTCTCTGTCATTATTTTCTGAAATATAGGTACTTCGTGTCTGTTGGGGAAAGTCCTAGGATGGCTTAAAGATAAAAGTCTCAACTAATTTTTGTGAGACTGATAAGTTTTATCTTACTTTAACTTTTCATCCTTCCTTCCTTCTCTCTGGTGGATATGAGGATATTCAACAAGCCATAGATCCAAAATATTGTCTCTAAAGCATTGTTTGTTTGTTTGTTTGTTCGTTTGTTTGTTTTAAAACTCAAGAGAAAATGAAAGCATTCCCTTTACTGGGTAGCTTTCCTGGAGTAACTGAGCTGGAATGGGTCTAGGAGCCTGTGTTCTCTGTCTGTTCTCATGTGTCATGTTGATAGCATTCCTTTCAGCACATCTCCCTCCCCATATTCTAGCAACTCCTTGGTCTGAGCTTCTGGCTGCTCTTCTCTCCTCTTGCTCTTGCATCCTCACCTTGTTGGAGAGTCTAAACTGCCACCACGTATTGCTTTAATCTGAGCAATGTGACTTCTTCCCAGATGGGACTGTTATGCCTTCTTTGGGAGGTGAACCCATGGATCACGTGCACTTCTCTTCTGTGAAATGAAACCTCTGGTGCTTCTTTCTTTGCCACCGAATTTCCATGTATCAGTTTTAACAAAAGCACTTAGTACATAAAGGCAGCTTGACTCATGGTGTCATTTTCATAAGACAGTCTAGTAATACTTCAATATATCGTTGGTAATAAGTCTTGTGCAGAAATGAAAAAAGAGAGATTAAGGGGAGGAGGAGCTGAACCTAACCAATGTGCAGAAAGAGGCAGAGACGTTCCATTTGTTTGGGGAGCACCATGTGTACTGTGCTGTGAGAGAAAGTATTGGACTAATCATTCAATAAAGAAGGAAAGTGGCTTCCTCCATGCAGCCTGAATAAAGCCCTGATTGGTGTGTTGTAGGAAAAGCGGATCGTGTCCCTGGATTCAGCCAACACAAGACTGATGAGCGCGCTGACTCAAGTGAAGGAGCGGTACAGCATGCAGGTCCGCAATGGCATCTCTCCCACCAACCCCACCAAGCTTTCCATCACGGAGAATGGTGAATTCAAGAACAGCAGCTGCTGATGGATGGCCTTTGTGAATACAGACTGTGGGAGGAGACAGAAGGAAGCTGCCCAGCTCTCCTATCCCAGCCCTTTACCCTCCAGGTTTACAGAATGTTGCTTCAAATAGCAGTATGTTGAGAAACTCTTAAATGAAGAAAGGAACCTTGTCTTTCAGGGCATAGAGCAAAGACTCCCAATGTTGATGCTTTCCCCAGTGTCTCTATGTACATAGGGAACTTAGTTCTGGGCCATGTACAAAAATACCACTGTAATATACCAAAAGGAAGTTAATAATGTAGATTACCTTTTTAATTATTACTATTTTATTATTGTTTTTCTCTCGTTGAAAGCACTGCAGTTTTTAGTGGAGGAAAAGTAGGAGCCGAGTGCGAGTGAGAAATGAGCCTGTCAGTTCAGTAGGTAGAGACTCTGTGTATTGGATAGGAGCACATGGAGTGCAATAGGACCTTGTCAGAATGATTTTTTTTTTTTTTCAGGGATTCATCTGCCAGTTTAAAAGCCCCACCCTAGTCCCTTACCATTAGGAAAACATGCAATACCAAGACCTATACAAAACAGTGATTTATGCCTCTGGTCAGCCAGGATGGTAATCTGATTTAGAGAGGACATGGATAAAAGTGGGTGGTTGTACCAAAACTGAACTAGAAATGAGTTCTGAATTCTGTCAGTATGTTTCCTCCATCTACAGCAGATGGGAATCTTCTGCTTTAGATAGGGGACTTTTTTATTTTTTAACTCCTACTTTTTTTAAACTACTCGTAGGAGTTGACAGAACTCTACATATCTGTGTCTCTCTACCATCTTCATTTTCCTTGGCACTGCCCTTGTCTCCCCATGCTGGGAACGGTCAGCACCAGCAGGCTTGACTCTCCACTGAGAGGTTATTCAAGTGTGCCATTCGCTAGCCATCTGAATAAATACCCTATCTGCCACACAAAAAAGGGCTAATTACAACAGAGCAGGAATCTCTATTTCCCACTCAAATTTTCCTTCCTATTTGTCCATTGTGTTTTTACTTAGGATAAAGATTGTATCCACCATACTAACAAATTTATGGGCAGGGCTATTTCATCACCACTTTTAACTTTTAAATTGCTGCTTCTTTCTGTTTATCCCTTCCATAAAATTTGGGAAGGAAATCTAAAACTGAAGCCTGTCTTTTCTTTTTTAAATGCTGATTAATCTTGCTACAGAGAACCAGAATGTGAGGATGGCACATTCCAGTTGTTATTCCACATTCGTGGTAGACTCAGCAAGAATGACCCAGCTTATCATTAATGGCTTTAATACAGGACAAAATATCCATGTTTTTCTCCAGAGTGTGACATGTCATCTGGAATGCAGGCTTAATTATCAGAGGCGGAGAAAGGTAGCTGCAGGTTAAACAAATATTATATATAAATATATATACATATATTCACACATATGTACATATAATGTGCACATCAAAAATGTTCATACCTTCTATGCTGTCAGATATACAGAGATAATGTTTTAAAAGGGTCCTGAATCTCTTTAAGCAAGATCTACACCATTTTATGTTGGGGAAAAAAAAAACAGCATTTCTCAAATAAGTTAATGTTTTGTTTTGTTTTTTTAAGTTATATGCTTTAAGATTTTTTTTAAGTAAAGGATGCGGAGGAAGACATAACAGAGCCATATGCATGGACTATGTGTTTCTACATGGTAGAATATTTATAAAAAAAACAAGAGAACTTGTGTAGTACCCTCTTTGTTTGAAGCCCAGGCATCCATACCAAGCCCTCCTTTCCACCAAGTCCCAGGCATGTATTCCAAGTCTCACTTGCCCCTTCAGTTGACCTTTATGTCTGACCTTGCATTTCAGCAACCTCACCAGAGCCCTCAACTGACCACCTTTGGAAAGGGTTTCTCATAATAACCTTTTTGTATCAGACAAACGTCTAAAACAGGAGCATCTCACTGTGATTGGAACGGCAGGCCTCCACGGCCACTTGAGTGTTTTCTTGACCCTTAACGGCTATTTTACCAGGTCTTATCTCCTCTCCAAGCTGAGGCCACATTGTGTTAAAATTACTTCATAAGAGAAAAGTTTTTGATTCTGCAGTAATGGCATGTATTGAGTGAAGAGGGAATGTAAACATAGATCTTTTCTTGTTTGTAGCTTAGCAGTGTTTCCTTCATTCTTGAAAACCCTTCAGTAGTGCCACAGAGAAGCTAGGCAATTCTTAGTCTCAGTGGCCTGAAGTATATGATGTGGTAACGTCTTTCTTTGAGGTTGAGAAGGTATTGAGATGCTGGTTATAGATTACAGAGAGTTGGTCAAATAAGTGTAGTGATGAATGCAGTGTAACTATTAACACTCTGGCATCTCTGAGTGACTGCACTGTAAGATTGAATTTTAAAACATTTGGACATAGAATGAGGCTCTCTAGCCATCGTGTTATCATGAAGGAAGAGAAAAAAGTAAAATAACAAAAATAGTGAAAGAATTAGAGGTCAAAAGTTCAGCATTGTTGCCAGATATTAAATCTCAGATTATTCTTTGAGCCCTCTCATCTTTTTAGCCTATCAGAAATATTATTCTGGAGTATAGCTCAGTTGGCACAGTACCAGCCTAACATGCCAGAGGCCATGGGTTCAAATCCCAGCATCACACGAACTGGGATATGGCACACAGGCCTGCAATCCCAGCACCCCAGGGATGGGAGCAGGAGGAGCAGGAGCTCAAGGTCATCTGCTGCTGCAGAAGTGTCCTGGCCAACCTGAGTTAAGACCCTGTCTCAAAATGCTAAAAAAATATTTTTTTTTAATATTTCTTTAGAGAATTTTGAAATCTTATAGTTTATTTTGAATTTTTTCAAAGTATAGAAGAGGACAGCAGCAGGTGCTAATTTATGTGGTGTTTCTTTAACTCAAATAGGTACATCATTTTGTTTTACTGGGAAGAAACGTGTGATTTTTAAAAAGCAGATGGGTTAAGTAGCTGCATCTTGCGATTCCTGTTTTTGTCAACACATCAGCATGTTACAGGGTGAGAATAGACCAGGGTTGGATGGGGTTTGGTATTCAGGTGATGTACTTGTGAAGCTTTTATCCCAGTGGGGGCCTGACTTGACCATTTACAAGGACAGCCTTAATAAGACCAGGAAAGGGGCTTCCTGTTTCCCTCCTACGCCACTAGAGCAATAAGATTTCCAGGCTTTTCCAGAACAGCAAATAGTCCTATTCCCATAAGACTAGCATTACTTCACATCTGTTCCTGTGTGCTGCTTGGGTCTGGGGCAGTCTTTTACTTGGTGTGGAAACTGAGGTAATTGTGCTACTATAACTGTTGTTGCTTTTTCACTTACCATCAGGTTGGTGTTAAGTGTTAACTAAGGAACATGAGTGTGCGAGACAGTCTGCTTCTATCCTCTGTTACGGGGTTGCACTGTAAAGAAAACGTGAGGGTTTCTAAGATTGCTGTAAACATCCAGTGTGCATACTGGGGCTGAGCATGATCTCAGTAGTTCTGTATTCTTACTGTACCTGTGGCTTTTGTAAGGGACAGCAGCTCTCCAGAGCCCTGACTTCCACTGTGTCCTCAGGGAAGTAGTTTAGAAGCAGGGTTTTTGTTTGAAGTTCCAGAGGACAATTGCCATCAAGTGTGTTTGCATTAGTGTTTGCTCTGCTTCCTCCCAGGTACAGTTCCTGAGAAGGCCTGTTAAGGGACTGAGCTGGGACAAAGCAGCCTTCTTCAGGATCCTCAGTCAACAGACTGACTGAGCCCCAGGCTGGACTGTAGACTAGCCATGTCACTGGCAAACTCAGCATTTCCAGAGCCCATCCTACAGTTTTACTTCATTGGGGGGGGGGGTGTCTCCTGCTCTATACCCCTTAGCTTTTTCTTTCTTTCTTTCTTTCTTTCTCTTTTTTTTTTTTTTAGGTTTTTCAAGACAGGGTTTCTCTGTGTAGTTTTGGTGCCTGTCCTGGATCTTGCTCTGTAGACCAGGCTAGCCTCAAACTCACAGAGAACTGCCTGGCTCTGCCTCCCAAGTACTGGGATTAAAGGTGTGCGCCACCACCACCCGGCACCCCTTGGCTTTTTTCAAGTCAGTAATGAACTCTTCCTTGCTTGCCTCAGCAGTAAAAAGTCACCTTCCCAACCTGTACCTGGGATACCCTTTAAAACTATTATTAATTTAAAGGACTTATACTTGTTTCTTAAAAGCAAGTAATGTTGAAGTTTCAAATTTGTAAGTACAAGCTTTTTTATGTTTAAATAATAGTTATCAGTTCTTATAAAGCACCCTTCTGTCACAGACCATCTAGGGAAGCTCTTGAGCTTTGAAAGGACAAGGGTGATGCAATTTGCATGAGAGAGAGTGAATTTCTTCCAGAAAGATCCTGAGGAAGACACATGATCCAATGGACTCCGTTCCACAGAAGTTCAAAGAAACAAGTGGAGTTGGCGTCACCTGGCTCCTCCTAAGACGTATATGTGGAAAGGCAGCTCCTAAGACATCATGTGCATACCTACAGAAATACACACCTTTTAGGGCATCCCTTTAAAAAAAAAATGTTAATCCACTTTATAAACTAGTCATTCCTAAACTTTCTTGATGTTTTGTTTTTGTTTTGTTGTTTTTTATAAAATTTTTATAAAATTCTATTCTTTTTTAAATGTACTATATGTGTTATATGTATATATAAGTTAAAGTGACTTGAGCTCGGTATCATTGGTAGCATAGAAAATATGGAGCAACAGATGACTGTCACCATCCAAGAGCAGAATACAGAAAGCAGTTTTGGTTCCTCAATCAGTTAATGCTCAGGTGTTTGAACAACAGCCCAGCTGGCCTTGGTAAATGCAGCAGGCCACCCGAAGAGAGGTCAGGAGTACTTTGACCCCATGGTACAGCACATTTTCATTTTCTACTCTGTTATTTTTTATCAGATGCCCTCATTGTTCCCTAGGAAGTCTTGGAACTGAAAACCTGACTGTACTGTTGGTGCAGTGACATTTCCACAGCTGTGTTTTGGGGTCCCCATCCTCTGTGTGTGGTCATGCATTTGAATATAAATAGCATGGTTATGTCATTTCCAAACCCTGAAGGAAATTATCAATTTCCAGTTCACTAAAGGTTCAATGCTAATTAACTCGATGACCGCTGTCCTACAGAAAAGCTAAAGTAAGTAGTAAAGGTTGAATTTTGACTGGTGCTTAGATATTTCTAGCTATATTAGGATCAACTCAAGCAAACAGCAGCATATTTACCTGGGTCACACCTGTGAGGAATTTATCTTCTAAATTTGATTTTGTTTTTCATCTCCAGGGCCTTAATAAGAGTATGTTAATACACATGACTATTTTACAAAGATGGTTCAAAATAATTTATTTTTTATTTCAAGAAAGAGAAATTCACCTTAGAAAAACAAAACCCAAGATTTTATTTTATTTTTAAAGCCATATTTTTGTGCTTTGTAGCACTCAAGATTGTTCCATATGTGATCCATATCTGCATTTCATTACCTGGGTTCTAAAAAAGATTTATTTTTGTTCTGTGAATAATTTTTGACGGTTCTTGTACATGTACAGATATAGATACGTTTGAGGTCTTTTATTGATATTCCTACAAAAATACAAATAAACTTTAACTTTAAACATTTTGGAGTAAAGTTGCTACTGTATTTGTAGTACTCTTTCTATCATACATACATCTGTGTTATGTGCTATTTTCTAACATATCTTCTGGGCACTTAGGACACTTGATACACTGGGATATTATTCTGAAGATACATTTTAGCATTAGGAATATCTTGCCTTAAAATTTTACAACGTACAGGTAAAATACTTATGTGTAGGACAGATAACTGGCACTGGTATCAATTGTGTTATGGTGATGCCCTTGGAAAGAAAGCTCCCTTCAGCTGCCCTAAGCCACTGTGGTCCTCTCATATTCCCCACAGAGTTGGTTCTTAGGATTTTTCTTGTTTGGGTCAGGGAGTTGTCCTTATTTATCATTCTCAAGGTGTGCTATCTTCAGCTTATCTATCTCACTCTAAAACCCAAGAATGCAGGTTTCACATGTCATTTTCTTTTGTGCTACATATAGGACTATGCATCCTGGAACACTCCAGGTTATTTCTAATCTTGTGTGCTAAAAGGAATTTAAAAAAAAAAAAAACACTAGAGACAACCTGAATGACTACTTAAAAAGGAAAGTAAAAATTAGCAGATGTTTGCTATTTTTTGTTCACTTCGAAGCCGACCCATTTCAGTGTGAATTCCTCATGACCTAATATAAGCTTTAAGACTTCTTGGATCTGAAACATTAAAAAGAGAGAATTGGGGCTGGGGATATAGTTCAGTGGGATTCATTCCTAACCCAGCACCACAAAAAGAGAAAGAAAAGCAACTGATGATACTTTATGACCCTGTGGCTCACTTAGCTCTAAATAACTAACAGATACACTCTTTATGTCCATCCATACCATTTCTTTCCTAGCCTTCCTTCACCTGTGTGCACCTTGTCAATAGCACCAAGTTACTCAATGGTTCTCAATCTTTACTGAGCATCAGACTCATTGGGTAAATTTAAACACACACATATACATGCATACATACGTATACACATGTATATGCTCCATTACTCCATATTGCCCTCTGAACACTATGTAGGATAACTGTAGCAGTGTCCTTCATCACTGTTCCTGAGGTTTGGATAAGTTAGTTGCAGATGTTTTCTTACTTTGTACTTACAATTTTAAATGCTGTTAAGACTCCACGCTACCTTATCCTTATCAACTTCATTCCTTCTATATCAGTGAGACAGGAAGTCTGTGGCATGCTAATGCTGTAAAGCTCCTTTACCTTGGTTTTGTTTTGGTTTTCTTTTTCATAGTGTGAGGAACCAAACCCAAGACCTCAGGACCATCTGACTTATGGAACAAATACATTCTGACAAAGCTAAGCAAGAAGTGGGACTTACCAGTATAAACCCAATTTTCTTACTGGCTCCAGTTTAATACATAAGATAAATGCTTCTGCATTAGCCTTTGAGCAATGTTTTCTCAGGCTATGTTCAGTAATCAGTTTAATTATTGTAGCAGTAATGCTAATAGGAGCTAATATTGAGTACCAACTGTGTGCCAGTTTGCTAAGATTTTATACAGAACATGCAAGCACTTTACCAACTGAGACATCTCAGCCCCAACTCTCTTAATATATTGGCTTTGACAATACTACTTTGCATTATTGTCACCTGTATGATCAAAATTTAAAAAGCTAGACATCTTACCTCACTCAAAAGTTGGTCTTTCATCTCTTCTGGATCACTCAGTGATGAGATGGTAAAATCTGCTTTCAAGATTCCAAAGGAGTACTCTGGAAAAGAAAATGTTTCCTGGTTTAGAAGAATGTCACCCATTGCCTCTTGAACTTTTCAGTTCTTGGATATCATAGGTGCTACATAGTGACCGAGGATTTCAAAGAGAAAAAGAGGGAAATGGCTGAGCCACAATTAACGCCACCAAGCAGTGTCCCCAAAAGGAACTCCTATGTTTTGTGCCAGTATCAGCTCTCTTCCCACAGCCTAGACACCATCTCTCCTGTGATCTTCTGTTCCCTTTTCATAAATCTACTATACAGATGTTCTTAGCCATGTTGAAATTTCACCTCCCCTTGGGCTCCCTACCCAGAAAACCCCCAAGGATGTTCTTTAAACTAATAGATAAGTTCATATTGGAATTTTCCCAAGGGCCTGCCCTGAGGAAGTTCCTCCCAAGGTCCTGGGGAAGGCGCTCTGTCTGGCGTGGGGTTATCTGAGGGAAAAGAATCTGTACACCATGCTCTTTTGTCCATTTATTTCTCTAAGACAAAATTCTATCTATACAGCTTCAGCTCCATCCTCTGTACCTACTACTCTGTCATAGTCCTAACTAAGCTCCTGTGCTTTCAACCTCATCTTCATCTGTTCCTTCATCCTCCATCTTTCCTTCCTTGCTCCTTGCCCCTGCTCTGAAAAACTCTACTTCCTTCTCTTCTCCCCAGCCACATGGCTCTGCCTACACTCTACAGAAACTGCCTTGTTCTTTTTCTCCCGGCCATGCAACTCTGCTCTGGCCAAGAATCCTGCCCCACCCTTCACTCCACCTGGATATGCAAAAATCTCCTTTGTTCTGAGTCAGTTGCTCTGAATGTCATTTTCCCTGTCTTGGCAAGGGAAGTCTGAGCTTCATTTGTACAAGAAAGAAGGCTATGAATCTACAGCCCACCTGTCTCCTAAGCCCAGCAGGGGTGTTACCTAGTGGATCAGCAGTAGGTCTGAGAAGCTAAAATGTTTGCCATATGGCCTAGTAGTATATGGGTACACAAGAATTTCATAGCAGAATACAGCTGATAAATATTAATAAGCTAAATAACACCAAATATTCCTTGATAAATGGCTTCCTCTTGAAGGACTCCTTGGTCAGTCAAGGTATAGCTTATTATATACAGCTGAATCTCTATAATATATTCTTATGGCTCACTGCAAGTTCAATCTTTGCTATATGTCAACCATAATCATCACAAAAACTACAGCCTCATGGTAGGACATGTATTTGCAGAACTTTTTGACAACTTACAATGTTCCTTTGCCTAAGTTCCTCGTTGTATGTTCACAGCAACCCTATGATATAGGGAGTTTTTACTGAGCCCCTTTTGAAAATGAGAAAAACTACAGAACTAAGGTATAATACTTGTTTCCCTCACTACACTTGCAGTAGTCACGCAACTTGAACTAGAATCCTCATCTCCTTCCTATCCCCATTGCCAACATTTTATGTTATCTTTCCTAAGACCCCCAAGTATCCTGGGCCAGGAGTGAGTAGATTTTTAAGTGCTAGGCTATTAGATGGTAAGTTAGCAAACAGAAGCCATTACCCAAGTCTGCTGCTGGTTTCTCTTTAGACTCTGGGTGCTTAGCTGAGCTTATGTGTTGGGCCTGGGTGGCAGTAGCTGTATCTCCTATATGTGTGTCATCCTCTGTGCTGGTCACAGCTACAGGGAAAGAAGAATAAAGAAGTTAATGTAAATGTAGCCAGAAATCAAGGAGTCTGATACTGATGGCTGGCTGTGAGCCAGAAGACAGGCAAAGGCAGCTCTGCTGGGTATAGTTGTTTATTCCTGCCAATCCTTCACTTGCCCCCCAGGCTCTTATCCCCCATCTCTAGAGTTGCTCTCCCATCATTCAGAAAGTGCTCCAGCATCAGGCTGTGTGAGGCTTGAGCAATAGCATGAGGTTCCACCTCAGTTGCAGTTTATTTTCTTTTAGTAGCACTTAGCCCAAGAAGCCTGGCGCTTTAACATTACCAGGTGAGCTGTGCATCCCCTCCCTATGGTACCCAGAGCAACCTTGACCTCCGCCAAGACAGTACCCCAAATCAAGCTTAACTTCTGGGTTTACACTAGGCACTCCAGCCAGAAACCAGGAGTCCTCAGTTGCTGTCCCCTTCAGCCCTGATCCTGTGTTTCTTTTCCCACAATTGCCCCACCTCCAAATATGGACATAATCATACTATTTAAAGGTCTACTACTATAAATTATTTAAGAAAATGCCCCAGCTCTTGGAAAAAAACAACATTAACAGTTTGCTAGAGAATATCTTTCACAGGGTTGAATTTTTTTATTTAAAATGCCAAATCTAACTTACTCTTTAAAAGAATGCATAGTATTTCATCAAGTATGGCATGACTGACTTAAGCAGTCTTCTCTTGGTAGACGTTAGATCACTTCTCATTTTCAGTACAATAGACAGTGTTGGGTGGGTGGGTGTGTGTGTGTGTGTGTGTGTGTGTGTGTGTGTGTGTGTGTTTACCTTGTACTTATCCCCTTTAGCAATTTCTAAATGTAGAATATCTGTAGGAAGGGACATGCCCATTTAAAAACAGACAACTTGCTAGCACCAATTTACAGCCTACAGTATTGGTCATGTCTGTTCTTCCCAAATTTTCATTATTACTGCCTTTAAATCTTTGCCAAACTGTTGTTAGGTGGAGAAATAAATTTTAAAATAAAACTTAATTTTTAAAGTTAGGTTCATTTCTGTAGTTTTATGAACAAAGCCGAGAGATCTTTAAATGTGTTGGTGTTTCTTGCCTAGTGTCGAGACTAATGTCACTAGTCTTCATGTCCGTCCTCACTTCATACTGCCTCAGCCTACTCACCCAGGCTGTTCTCTCGTGTTGAGCCTTCTCCACCAGCCCACTCTTCCTCATCCAAAGGCTTGTACATCTCTTTAATAAATGAGGAAATTGGTAAGACTCAAACACAGAAGTGGGGGAAGGCTTGTAAGCCCAGCTTTACACATTTCCTCCTGACCAGTTTTAAACCTTGGATTGATGTTTCTCCCACTGTTGAGACTGTGTTACACACAATGAATTCTGCTGTTTTCTTTTAGCATCCTAATGCAATGGCCCCATGTCACTGTGCCCAGCCACCTCTAGTAACTACAGATCTGAACATTGGCTCATTTTCCAAAACTTCCTGGTGGTCCTTGACTCAGGTTCAAGTCCTTCAGAATTTGGCCGCAAATCCCTCTTCCCTCTTCCCTGTTACTCCTTCCTCCAAATCACAACCTGTATGCTAACCACGCTAATCAGACTGCTTGGCAATCCCAGACAAACCTAACCCTTTGACATGTCTGTCTTGGCCCATGCCATTCTTTCAGCAAGGAAGAACGTGCAGATTTTGCTGTCATGATACTCATTACACTTTTTTCCAGAGAATGAGTGGCTTTCTGCTCTTGGTTTGTGCTTCACACACTCACAAGCTGTCCCAGTTGCCTGTATCTGTTCCTATAGGGTTGCCTTTGTCTAAAAGCAGCAGGCAAGTCCTGCTCACCCTAGTTGAGACAGTATCCACAGTTCAAGGCAGGAACTCAAAAAGGGGGTTGTTAAATAAACAGGCACTCAAAACAAGGAGAAAAGGAAGTAGAAACAGTCCCTGCCCGAGAGAGTCTGCAATGCTCATATTTCATAGATGACCATCTGTCATCGTGTGTAATGACATAAGAATGAGCCTTGCGTATCTACTAAGGTAAGGACACTAAATGTCACTAGTGAGTTGAGATTAAGATGCTAATAACTGCATTTACCATCTGCCAGAACCAGGAATTGAGAGGTACTATATCACACTGATGTATTCTTGGTTTTAGACATGAGAAAAATGAGATTCAGTGAGGTTAAGAAAGTTATGAAAACAGATGTGATGGTTCATTTCTGCAATCCCAGCAGTCCGGAGGTTGAGACAGGAGAACTGCGATGAGTTGGAGGCCAGCCTGAGCTATAAAGTGAGACCTGATCTCAAAAGAAAGAGAAGAAAAGGGTTGGAGATTTAGCTCAGTGGTAGAGCACTTGCCTAGCAAGCGCAAGGCCCTGGGTTCGGTCCTCAGCTCCAGGAAAAAAAAAAAAAATCTGTAGAAAGAGAAGGGGAGAAGAGAGGGAGGGAGGGGGAGGAGGAAAAACTTGATGGTCTAAAGCTGTGCATAGTAAATTACAGAGCCAACATTCCAATCTTGACTGATAGACTTCAGCTCTTAAAGGTGGATTCTCCTAAATCTTCCTGCTCCATCTCTGTCCTTACCTGGTCAAGGGAGGATATGGGCTTATTGGCTGGTGCTGGCCAGACAAGATTCCCTGTAGAGAGGCTTGCAGTGCTTCCCTGCCTAACCCTGTGACTCCTGCACTCAGCTCTACACTCTGCAACTTGGTGTCTGGTTGCTGATGCCCCAGAGGAACCTGCAGGCAGTGTTACCCGACCCCTAGTGAAGCATATGAGCACCTGAAGTAGTTCCTGGCAGGCTCCCAGCTGTCAGCGCTGGTAAACTAGCTCCAGGCTGCAAAGCATGCCGCTCATCTCTTTGGATCTCTACTGGGCTCCCTAAGACAGATGCCTCCATTGCTCTTTCTTTGGTCTCTGCAAAGCTCTACTGAACCTCTGAGCTATGGGGCTAACTGAATGGGGACGACTCAGAGAATATTGCCAACATGGGAATAGCTGAAACATGGTGGGTGGAACTGAACCAGGGACTTGTGGATACCTCCCCTGTAGACATGAGCCCACTCTGGGTTACAAGGACCCCTGGTGCATAGGTTCTGCAGTATCACTGGCAATGGTAACTGGCCATGGGGTGGGGCACAGGGGGAAGGCCACTCTCTGGTGAACTGATCCATTCTCTTGAAACAGAAAACCAGTATGAGCTAGTGTCAGGGTGCAAGATCCAAAAATAAGCATTGAGCAATGGCCATGTGCCCTTCCCCAAGAACTAACGTACTGTCTGGGGATAAGGGAACCAAGGATGTGGTTCTGGGAATGACCAATGATGTCTTGGACTTTTCTTCCAGAACTAAGTTACTTCCCACGGTCCAAGGACAAGCTCTGAAAAGTTAGCGGTGATGTGCTGGGCCCTTCTCCCAGAATCATACTGCTTCCTGGGTGCTCAGGGTCCAAAGACGAGCTCTGAGCAGTGACCAGTGGGCTCATGAGCCCTCTCAAACCAAGGTACCTGCTGTAGGTGCTGATGTTGCTAGAGGGATTATTGAAACCATCTCTTGAGATTGGAGAGCTGTGAGGCCCACGGCGGTGGAGGCAGAAGTGGTTTCACAGGTGCTGAAGCCACAGGTGCCAGAGCTGACCTCAGTTGGTTCATGACTCACTTGCTGCGAGATCCAAGTTGCTGAAGCCAGTGCTTGGGAGGCCTCTGTGGGGTCAGTGCTGGTCCCTATGACGAGACAAGACTTACGTGGGGTTCACTGGGCACAGGACCTTTTCTCAAGGCCCTGGCCACAGGTCAGGAACTCCTAGTATCCCCAGTGGGGCAGATCAGAGAGACGATCATAGCTTCAGCCTCCAATTTCCTGCCACAGTTGGTAGTATTGACCCACTAAAGACAGAGTTGACCAGAAAGGGTCTTCTGAACCTATTTGGGCCAGCCCAAGTTAGCAGTGGCTCCCAGACAACTGGGTGGATGCCGGATTAGACCTTAACAGGGAAACAGAAGGCAGTTTCTCAACCCAGCTTCTTAGCCAAAAGAATCCATGCCTCTGCCAGCTCTCCAGTGATGGCATCTCCACACAAGCACCCTGCTGTTCCTCTTTCCTACCATCACCTACCCGGCCACCCTTCAACCTCATCCTATTACAGTGACTGGATGGCTTTTGTTCTGGGGTTTTCTTGATTGTGTCTGTCCCCATTGTTGGGTCTTGTCAACTGCCCTAACTTATAACCACATCACAAAACCCCATCAGCTCATGCCCCTCTCCCAGCAGAGGAGCACGCTCTCTCAGAGGGGGCTGACAGATCTCCTTTGTTTTGCTTCCTTTGGGCGCTGAACCTCCAAGGCCTCTCTGGTGACTGTTCCCCAGGAGCACCACTCAGCCATCTGTCCCTTTGTGTCCCAGGCCTTTATTTGTGCACTGGAGAGACTGCACAGCCTCTCTTAGGCCTCCTGGACCTAGAGTTTCAAGTTCAGAAGCCCACAAAGAAGGATGTTTGTGGGGCCGGAGAGATGGCTCAGAGGTGAAGAGCACTGACTGCTCTTCCAGAGGACCCAGGTTCAGTTCCCAGCACCCATATGGCAGCTCACAACTGTCTGTAGCTCCAGTTTGGGGGATCTGGCATCCTCACACAGGCATACATGAGGACAAAACACCAAAAATAAAAATCTTAAAAAAAAAAAAAAGTGGCAGGGGGGATGTTTGTGGTAAACCAATTCCTCATTTTCCTACCCATGGTTAGGCAAGCAGTATGAGGAAGAGGAGCAAAGAGCCTAACTGCCCTAAGTAGTAAATGATTGCCACACAATTGGCATAGCTCATCTCTGTTCACTCACTAGCACTTCAGGGAAGGCCACTCACCTGGGCTCCACCCTGGGTTATGTGTAGACCAACCATTTTCTCTAGTTTTCTAGGCCCAGAAGACCCCAGATACAGCCAAGAACAGACTCAGAGTACCTGTGTTTGGCCTAGAGGCTGTCCTTGCAGTAACTTTGGAGGGGTGAGTCACTTTGAGGGAGGAAGTGTCAATGAGTGGAGGCCTCTTTGTCGAGGGGTCTATGAGAAAACAGAGTGTAAGGGCAGACTCCGTCACACCAACCCTGTGAGAAGTCACAACAGATCCCACCAGTCTGCCTCCACCACAGCGAACAAACTGCGGGGCCCAGTTACTGCACACTGTAAACTTCACTGGGATAGATCCTCTCACCTTTACTCTTGACAACAGCTCATCAGTGAAGACTTACCTGTTTTGCAGATAGGGGCCAAGATTGTCTTCAAATCCAAAACAAAAAGAAACAGCCACAAATAGGCAAATCCACAGAGGCATAAAATTCTATTTTGGTTGCCAAGGGAAAAGTAGGACACAACTGTGAGTCAAGACTTTTGAGGGTGATGAAAGTCATCGGATTGGACAGTGGTGATGGCTGAACAGCATGCAAATGTTAAAAACCACTGAATTGTGGACTTTGAAAGGTTGTCTTTAAAAAGGGGGAAAATGGTTGTCTTAAGGTATGTGGATTCTCTCTCAATAAAAATACAGCGGGAGGAGGGATGCTGAAGCCAAGGACATGGTAGGAGACCTGTCACTAAGGAGGCACACTACACACAAGATCCAGAGTAGCCCTGAGATCTTCAAGTTCATAGTGACCAGAGCTGCTGTTAGCGGGAACTACCTCTATGTCAAAATCTCCACTGTCGTTCAGCCTTAGGCATCCTATGGGGGTGGATGTCCTCAATCCCATTTGCAAAGTATGTTTTCCAGATGAGGAAAGGGAAACGGATTCTGCCCATCTTCTAGGAAGTGGTAAAGTCTATCTGATTCTAAAGCATGGGCTCATGGTTATTTGATGACTAATTGTTGTTGCTAATTGCTATTATAATAAGGCTGGATGGGGTTCATTCCATCCTCTGAAGATCCCCAGGATTTAAGTACCTACAACTCCCTTTAAGGTTAAAAAAAAAAGTCTCAAATCAAAAGCCTGTTGTAGAATTAATTATGTTACCCTCAGAGCCTCCAAGCACTTGCTTAGGACTACCCTGAGTACCCACCACTGTTTAATAAACTCATTTTAACCTCCATGAGCCAAGTGGGCTTTCACATACCATAAAAACAGATAAAAGGCTTCAGCTCATGGCAAAGGATTGCATAAATCTGAGGTGGGCCATTGGAAAAGACACGGAGTCCTGCACACAGTCCTTGTCCAAACATGGGTAGTTTCTGAAGCCACTTGGGAATGCTGAAACCCAAGCCACTGGACCAGGTCAGATTATTGATCGCCGTATCGAAGTAGAGGCCAATCCAGGCATCGACATCATTTGTGATGGACTGGAGGGTTTCTTTGCCCTCCTCATCAGTCACCTTCTGCAGATTGGCCAGGTCTGTGTAGTGGTTGCGACAGTAGGTCTGAGCTGAGAACCACGACATGGTTTTCTCAATCCGAATGAAGGTCTGTCCACCAATCTTGACCTCAGCTGGAAGCAAAGAATACAGAGACCACAGGTCTGAGATCCATGGTGTCTGCCATCCCAGCTTTCAATGCCTAAGGAAAGAGCTGGTTTGACCTAGATTCTCAGGTTTTAAATTTGGTCAAAACCACCATTTTATAGGGGAACCACCAAGTTGGAGAATGAGTGAGATATCATAACATAGTAACAGCAGCTGGTGTGAAGGGATCCTTAAGGAAAGGGCTCTTCTTACAGCTATATAATTTTACAAGGTAGATTTCAGTTTCAATTACTTCATCTGTCCAATAGGAATAATAATACCTAAAGTCGGGATTACATAAAACTACTCATTAGCACTTAATAAAGTGGTAGACACTGTTTGGGAAATAGTAGTAGGTTATTCCTATGATGGAAGTAAGACAGTCTTGGTTTAGAGGTAGCCTCATTTGTGATCCAACACACACACAGAGAGAGAGAGAGAGAGAGAGAGAGAGAGAGAGAGAGCGCTCCTGGGAGCCAACCATATCAGCTCAGATCTGGTAGGCAGGAATCAGAGAAGATCTGCCCAACAGATCTGCTCCTTGTGTGCTCAGACAGATGACTACCTCCCTTTCCCAGGCTGGATTGCTTTTGATCCCAGAGGCAACCCCTCCCCCCAGCTCCCCACCAGAGTCCCCTTCAAGCCCATGCCTCTCTGACTCCCAACAATGGACGTTTTGGAAAGGATGTGAGGTGCTGCAGCTCCACCTGCCTTGGTTCTGGAGGTTTCGATAAAGAAAAGGCTGTTTGCAGAATCTGGAGTCATATCCTCCCATTCAAACGGGGACCCCTCCCTACTCTCTGGTCGCACCTGCTCCCTTCAGTCCATTAAGATGCGCCTGTTTCCCTAGCTAAATGGAGTTTTCATATTTAATGACTGTGCCTATGCACACATGTGTACTTGTGCATGACACAGCATCCACATGAAAATCAGCAGATAACTTGCAGACATCAGTCCTGTCTTCACTGTGAGTGTCCCAGGGACTGAACTCAGGTCATCAGAGTTGGCAGCAAGCACCTTTACCCACTGACTGAGTCATCTCACCTACCCTAAAACTAATCCTTTAAAATTATTCTGTGTTATGCCCCTAGTATGTGCCAGCCTTGACCCATGCCTTTGGCTTACATCACTTCTTGATGTTCACTGTCATCCTGGAAAGTAACTATTATTAATCTTATTTCATAGCTGAGTCCATCCCAAACTCAGTGTCAGGGTGAGATTAAAGCACAGGTCTGCCTGCCTGGGAAACCTTTGCTATTTCTCTCTACATTCTGTAACACCCAGAGAATGAACCCTAAACACAGATGAATTGACTATTCCTTTTATCATAGAATTTTTCTGTAAGAGACGAGAAGAAACTTTCCTTTTAAACACCAGTGCAGTGTTGTCTAAGGGGCAGGAATCTTAAGAGAAGTATCTCTCTCTAGACAGAGAGCAAGGACCTGAGTTATGAAGAGGTCCTATCCTCTTATCTACCAACCCTGAGTCCCAGAGGTAGACTCAGGTATCAGGGTTGCAACTGGCTACACACTACTGTGAGACCTGGAGCTAGTCACCTTCCTTTCTGTCTTCTTCAGGCATTGTCCCCATCAGCCTCTTGAGTTTTAGTCTGGGTACCCCAAATCCAAACATCAGGTCAGGCAAGAGATGCAGGGTGGGGGGCAGAGGGAACCATAATGGTCCACATTCTGCCTGCTGGTCCAGGAAGATGACTCCAAGTCAAAATAAGTCAAGATCCAGAAAAGGGAAGACAGAGCCACGTTACCTTCTTCTGGAAGAGTGGCCACTTCATCAATAGTGGACCTCAAGGATCTACGGTGTCCTACAGCAGGGTCTGTAAAACAGAAGCAGACATCAAATTAGAGGTTGGGAGTGAGAACTGCCCAGGACCACCAGGTTGGAGCCAAAAGAAGCTAAGTTCAAAGGTGAGCTGGCCCGTTCTACATTTATTCAGTAAATATAGATTAAGCACCTATTGTGTGGCTGGTGCTACTTCCTAAGAAAGTGGTAGAAATAACACAGAGACTTTGCTTTCAAGGATAAGATGAGAAGGAGCCACCTAGACCCAACAGAGTGAGGACAGTGGTCCACCATCCAACCGAGGAAAAGAGCTATGTGGATTGGAGAACAGAAATGAGTCAATACACCACAGCTAGAGGAGGGCTGAGCAATGAGGCCAAAGAGACCAAACAGAGCATGATGGTCCATAAAAAGAATGGCATTCCAAGTGCTTTGAAGGTCTGCTAAGTATATTGTAAGGAAGTTATCCGATGTCTGTTAGAACTCACTGTTCAGACAACAGACGGTAGCCACCACAGAGCAGACCCATGGAAGTGAGTGGTGATTTGCCCCGTGCACTCACAATGGACCTGCACAACTGGAGACAACTGAGTGGGGCCGGAGTGGTGTAGCTGAGTTGTAAGACTATGAAGGAAGCAGGAAGAAATCCATCCTACACAGCTCTGATTTTGGCAGGCATTCCTACGGAACCCACTGGCCACCCCTGGGAATCTAGAGTTAAAACCAAGGCCATTGTGGGCTTCTGTTTCAGGGCTTCATGGCAAGTATGGTGTGGCTGTGGCTTAGGGAAATGACAGAATGACCTCCAGGTCAGTATCTGGGCAATCAGGGTGGCATGGAATTATGCTGAGCCTTGGCTGGCCAAGAAAGGCAGAAGATGGCACTTTTACCAGGAAACCGCAATCCTATCCACAACCACACCTCCATGTTACCTCTTGTCACCAAAAAGACAACGACGAGGAGGACAAGGGTTGTAGTGGTGTGGGCTCCAGGGGCACACAGCACGGGTAAAACACAAAGATGGGGTGTTCCCCAGCAGCCGGCACCATGATGTCCTGACGGCGGATCCCCAGCAACAATGTCTGGACTTGGTCCTAGTCACCACTTAGCAAGAAGCAAAAGGTCTCATGGGGTGAATGGACTATTCTCTGCCACCCCCTAGTTAGACAATAGACTGTACCCTGTGCTTCATGAGGTGAGACCTTGAATTCTGTTCTCATAGGTAATGGGCCCTCCAACCTGTCTTTCCCATTTCCTTCCTTGCTCAAAGCTCTAGTTTAAAGATGGAAGAGATGTAATAGAACATTCTGGATATTATTCTCTCTATCCTTATTTACACCCAGTTTCTTGGTGTGGTCTTGGGAATAGAGTACACAAAGACCACAAACTAAGGTCATAGAGAGGAAAGGATGCTAGAAGGAGAGTGAGGGAGCCTCCAGTTACTCTCATAGATGTCCCCCTGCCCCAGATACACACACATTCCTCTCTTCCTCTCCCCCATCCCAAAACAATCTTGGAGAAAAGAGAACAGGCCCAGAACATGTATCTGAACACACCATAATAGCAAATGAAGGGCTTCTGAGCTGTGCAGGAGGCGGCCCCTAGGGCAGGGACCGAGGTCCATGAATACACAGTAGCACAGATGCCATCTTGGAAGACAGGCAGCGTACTCCATGTCGGGGTGGTAAAGATGGAACCACTAGACCAGCTCAGGCCAGAGATGCGCACATCATAGAAGAGGCCGATCCATGCCTGGGTACTGCTGAGGTAGGAGTAGACCACCATGATGCTCACTGGACTGTTGACGCTCTGCAGGTCGGCGAGGTCTGTGTAACGCTCCTGGCAGTAGCGCATGGCCTCTTTCCAGGTCCGTGGCTCCTCCACCCGATAGAAGGTCTTGCTGTTGCTCACCAGCTGGAGGGCTGGGGCAGGAGAAGCTATCACTACATGACTACCCCCACTTCCGCCTTGTCCCTGAGAGATTTCAGCCATACATAGGAGAAGCTCTCCTTTTCCAGCGTACCGCTCACCTGATCCCCACCCATACCCAGCTCTGCCTCTGGACCTTTCCACAAGCCACTTGGACCAGAAGGACTGGCCATGCTAGTTCCCTCTTCTTTCATTCTTTTACCTTCTTTCCTTCGCCTGGTGGTTAACAGCAATCGTCAGTGTTTACTGCGCATGTGTGTTATGCCATTTTAGCTCACTGAGTTTTCCCAAGGACTACTTAAGATTTCATTATATCTGTTTTACAGATAAGGACTCCAAGTCATCAAGAGTTGAATAGATGACTAAGGCCACTACATGGGAAACAGAGAGAACCATGACTCCAGAACACAATGTGTGGTTCCTAGGTCCAAGCCCTTAAGCACAGCATAGCACTGTGTCTACGTCAGGAATTCTAACTGGGATTATAATACATTAGGATCATCCAGAAAGTGGTTCAGGTATGTTCCAGCATTGAGCAGGGATATGCTTACTGGGACTAACCTCAGAATTCTTCAGATACTTGTATGGAAAGCAGAGTGTTAAGCTTGTGTGTCTCCCCCAGGTCTAAGCAATTTAGGAGGCAAGGCTTGCCTTATTCGCCATTATATTCCCAATCCCCATCTAGGTGCACCGGAAACAGTCGGTGTGTTGAAGGAACGCAGGGAGAGAGAGACAGGTGAGAGGCAGGAAGCTTCTCCCAGGGACCCACCCAAACTCTATTATCCCAGTGTTTGCCCCTTCCTTCCCCCTCCCTGGCTCCAACCACTTTCTGGGTTCTCGCAAATTAGGCTTATGCAAGGCTCTCCACCCTGGTGCCAGGGCAGAGTAGAGGAGAATGAAAAGCTTGCTTTGAGGAATTGGGGGCCTCGAGCCTGAATCCTGAGGGCCAAGCATGCAAGATGGGGTAGGGAAGGACAGAGGACAGGCACTTGCCAGAAAGAGTGACGTTCTAACACCCACCAGAGTTGATGAAGCTGCCTGTCGCAAAGAACATCTGGAGAATTCCTGTGCCCAAGAAAGAATGGGGGGAAAAACACATTTGTCTTTTCTATTCACTTTGACAGGATATATGATTCACTTTGATTCTTTTGAATGCTACCTTACTTGATATTTAAAGCTCTCTTGCTGTCACCCACTAACGTTGTTTTTAGGAGCTAATGGGTCACACCCAACAGTTCCAAAAAACAAAACAAAACAAAAAACTTGCCAGCCTCTTGGAACCCACAAGCCCAGGACTCAGGAATCTGTGGTACTCTCCTTCCTTGCTTGAGCTGAGACCCTGGAGTCACAGTTGGGCCATCCCATTCTAGTCCGTGGAATCCAGTCTCACAGCAAATCTTGTCAACTACAGCAAGCCTTCTGGAACTCTCTACCTGTAACTATGCCCTCTGCCGCTTGGGCAAGATTGTCATCCTCCTCTGCGGGTGCAGTGGGTCACCCAGCTTCTGGTGCTCCACATTTTGTACTCAGTGGGGGGGGGGCTTTAAGTGGGGGCCACCCTGCCACTCTAATGGTTCCAGTCCCATGCTCAGTGAGGGGGCCTTCGAAGAGAGTCATGTACCATCCCATGCTCGGCCCTGGCCTCAGCCCAAGAAGCTGACCTAGAGCTGATCCGGGTACCAGGGACCCAGTCAGCTTCCGCCTGTGCTGATCTCTCCCTCTCAACCACCCAGGCCTCCCCTCCTCAGAGCAATCCCACCCCATCCCAAAGACACCCTCTCGAGGTGCCTTTTCTCAGGACCAGCCCTCTGGATGTGCTGTTTGGGCCACAGTTCTGGGCAATGAAAGCTTGTGGAAGTGGGGGAGGGCACCTCCCTCCCCA